AAAAATTTGAAATGATCAACTTTGATGATATTATTGATAAATTTGCTTCATCAAAAGCGGAAAATTTATACATAGTAATTAGTTTTATTAATGTATTATAATCATATTATTAAATATATGCATCTCCTTAGAGATAATAAATATTTACTTTTTTATTGTTTTAAAAGTGCGTGTTTTTAAAATATTTCTTTATAAATATGTAAAATAAATAATAGGTATCTTTTGAACTAATTCTAGATGATCATATACATTTCAAAATCTAGTCTTGTTTTCTCAACTACATTTTTTGTCTCAAATTTAATGCCTAGCTTGAGCCTATGACTTTATTTATTTTACTTTATTTATTTATTACTTTGCGAGTATATTTTACTCATAATATTAGATGGTTTTCGAATAGGGGGGGCGCTAAAAAGGTATTGTGCCCCGGGCGCGAGTTAAGCTCGCTACGGCACTGCCTTTCGTACAAGATTGTAAGCAATCTACTAACGATATCCAAATTACGCCAAAATTGTTATTTCTAAAAGAGAAAAAAGTTCACTTATGGTTAAAACGAGCATAAGCAGGTGTAAGATTATTCATCATTGGTAATTTGATTTATAATTACTCTCTTTAAAGAGTATATGAATGCTCGATTTGATATTAACTTTAAATTAAATGTTCCTTCACACTATTTTTTGGGTTGCTTAACACTAAAATCTGTTAGCTACTACACAAAAGTTTCAATAGTGTATATAAGATTCAATATTACAGCTAATTTAAAGGTATTTGGGAAAAAATTTGAAAGGTTTTTAGAATAATAGGAACTTTTTAATTATATAGTAGTTCAATAATATAGTTTTCATGCTTTCTCTATATTACAGTTAACGTTCGATTATAACCCGTTAGATTATCCATTTTTCATTTTATCTAAGGACTAATTTTAAATAAGATGCAAGACTGAAGTACAGGGCGTAAAATAAAACAGTGGGGTCCTAAATTACTTAAATATAATGATCACATTTTCATTTACTAAGACTCATACTGAATAGTTCAAAAGCTTCATCTTAAATGTGCTAATTAATAAGTGCAGACGATAATTTAAGTTAAGTTACGAAATCAGGTACAAAAATCTATAAATCTAAAAAAAATTTTGCACACAATTATAAAATTCATTAATCCAAAGAAAATTCCGTGCAAAGAATTATTTTCAATAATTATTATTTTTTTCATAATAGTCAAAAAATTTTGAACTAAATAAAAATATGATTTTTAAATAAAGTAAAAATATACTAAAAGTTATGTTTTGCTAAGAAATTATCTATGAATAAACGAATTGTATAGTTGAGTGCAATTTTTTTTAAAATTCTGTTAAAAAGTTCTCAAGATATGGTCAAATACGTAAAAAGTAAAATTAACATTGAGGTATTGACAAACTTTAGACCGCCCTCCTGAACAAACTGATGGAACCATATTTCCTAAATTGCTGCTACCCTTCATATTTGGCGGTTAAAAATCCGAATCCATCTAAAAAAGGCATGTTTATTCAGAGAAAGTGCGTTTTTGTGTCTGATTTCGTAACTTAAATTATAAATTCTAATTTAAGATTCTGCAATTAGATCTATAGTTAATTATTGTCCACTCTTCGGCTTATCGCTAAACATATTTTGAATAAGATTCTTGACTAAAGTGCAGTAAAATGTATGTGAAGGGTTTTTATGAAACACTTTTCCGCGTGTTTTCCATATTACAATTAACAGCGGGTTATCCTCAGTTTGAAATTTAATCCGAATACTAATTTTAAGACAAAAACTTGAGACTTGTATACGAAAAGCTATACTAAAACAATTCTTAAAGAATGTTTTAAAGATAGTTTTTTTTTTAAAAAAGAAAATAAAGTTTGTTTCTCAAAGAATGTTTTAATGTTTGTATTTTTTTCCTCGTGCTTGAGATTGAACCTCAAGATATATAGGGTGTTCTTAATTGGACTGAGGCTTTTGAAAAGATTATAACAGAAAAACGGTTGAATTTAAAGGAAATTTTTGCAGCAAAAATATTCTTTTTCCTGACTCGAGAGATTATGGTTGCTAATGAGATCCACGTATATGCTAACATAGACCTCAGACATTTTAATTTATGCTTTTTCTTCAACCCTTTGACGCAAATTTTTTTATCAAATATACTATTCATACTTTTACATTATTTTGTATATATTTGGTCAAAATAAGCAAAAAATTTTACACTTAGCATTTTAATAATTTATGTTTATGAAATACAGCATGAAAAACTGGTGCCTTTTTCTGCAATAAAGATAAATCGTTCAAACATGGCTCACTTACAAACAATTTTTTTTTTAATTTTCAGTTATTTAGTTGTAAGATAAATGGTTATTCATCATTGAAATTCCTTCAATTGATAAAATGAAATAATTGAAACCTTTTGAATACTTTTAAATATTATTATTTAAGATATGATTTTAACTATTTTGAAATATTTATTTTAGATATTCTCTAATGATGGCCTGGATTGGGTTTATATTCCTAACAATATTCATGATGTTGGCGGCAACATCTCACGCAGTTTTGCAGTACGGGCAGATTACGAACAAGATGATCTGTGGTAAAATATATTATTAATACTTTAAAGAAATCTATGCACTGTGAGCAAAATAAAAACGAAAGACGCAGAATAACTTTTGAACTAATGATGAGATTTTCATGGACTAGGAATCTATCTTAATAGTTTGAGGGGATGACTTCAAATATGCTAATTAGTTAAAGCAGACGTTATTTTAAGTTATGAAATTAGACCCAAGAACTTACTTTTCTGAAAAACGTAATTTTTTTTCGATTGATATGGATTCCTGATCCTTAAATTATAGGGGGAAGCCACAATCTGGAAAATATGGTCTCAATAGCTTGGTCAATAGTTTGACCCTTTATGTTATTTCCCTTTTTCGTATTTCGCCATATCACGAAAACGTTTTAAACGAATTGAAAAGTTTTGTCTCAAGCTAGTTTATTCAAAGAGGATTCCACGAAAAAAGAATAGTTCTTAAAAGTCGTATATTTAAACTCCAATTTCTCAGGAACTATTCAACCGATTTTATTCAAACTTTGTATTTTGCCGTAGAAAATTGCACTCTTTAAGAAGATCTAAATATTTGTACATCTTGCAATTCAAGTGATTTTCGAATATTATTACCTATGAAAAATAATAAATAAATATTTTAAACAAATTTTGTGTGGATAAACGAATTATTATTTATTATAGGTATTATTTATTGTTATTTATTATAAGTATTATTTATTCTTATTTATTATAGTTGTTTTTCGTCTTTGGATAAGCGATTTTTAAATTGTGTGCAAAAGTTTTTCAATTCGCTTAAAACTTTCTGGAAAAACGCACAAAGTAGCATTAATTGTTTCAAAGTTTCAGCCGCCAACCTGATCAAACTATTGTATAAATTTTGGGAGTCAAAAATCATAATCCGTTAAAAAAAAGATTCGGAGAAAATACGATTTTATATCTGATTTCATAATTTGAAATATCGTCAACACGTTTTAAATACGGAATTTTAAACTCCAATGATGTGTCGACGAAAGAAAATGCCATATCTCATTTTATATATATTTGACTTAACTCTCTTTCTAGTCCCGCAGTGGACTGATCGTTAGGACACGGTTCTCAGCAGATCACCGAAGTCAAGCATCACTGACTACGGTCAGTGTGCAGGTGGGTGACCACTTGGATCAGTCTGCGTAGGGACCGAGGGTGTGCGGTATTGGTCCTCGTGAAACTGTGCTACCGGAAAGTGCTCGACTTCCCGTGCAGGTCGTCGGGCTACCGAAGCGGGGGTGTCATCCCCTCTGCAGAGGATCAAAATTGTGATGGCATGTCTTCGGATCATCCTCCGGGATGTTTTCCAGACCGTCGCCAATAGCCCATTGTGCAGCTCTAGTGCGACGTAAATTAACAACAACAATAACTCTCTTTCATTCTCGTTGGTTTGTTTGTTTCCCTGTCTGTCTTTAGTGTCATCTTTTTTTCACAAAGCTGTACTTGGTTATTAAGCAGTTAGAATTTACAATTTGCCTTTTAAACCTTAAAAACTTCTAAATATTTATGCTACTCCCTGTTTGACTTCTAGCATAATGTACGCAAAAAACATTTTTTTGCAGATACTAATGACAACAAGCTGATTGAAGATGTAGCAGTATGCAGAAATGAACACAAAACTGAAAAAGTATATATCTTTTACGATTAAACAAAAAGTTAGACAAATTATTATAGGTAAAACAAAAGCACAAGAATTTAGCTACACATAATAAATTTTAATCACTACCTTCTATATGTATATTAGAATCCCAATTCTTGCCCAAAAAAAAAGAAAATAAAAAATAAATTTATTCATTACAGAGCTTAAACTAATATTTGAAGTATCGGACTAGTTTTTACAACTTTATTTAAAAAATATTAATATAAAATTTTATAAACTAGTTTAATTGTTTTATTTCATGTAAAAACTTATAAAACTATCAAAAAATATTATTATTATTTTTAAATGGCCATTTTGAGTTAAAAATAAGACATTTTTTGCCTATACGCTGAACACTGTAAAAAAATTTCTATACCTTAAAACAAAAAATCTTTGAGGATTTTATTTAGAAGGCTATCAACTATGTTTTGAACTTAAAAACAAGTGCATATACTACTGAGTAGGGGATCAATGTAGTTAAAGCAGAAAATGTTTGAAAAATTTTAGCATTTGTCTTTGCGAACAAGCATGTATAAAAAATTAAATTCGAAATTTTTCTCTTTGTCCGTAGTTTAAAACGAGTGCTATAATCACACTCATAAAAAATTTAGACAAAAAATTTAAAAAATCGTAAAAACACCAATAGATATCATGTTTATGGTGGCGTAAAATGTGAAAAAATCTGATTTTGAGATAAATGCAAGTTATAGACTTAAAATCATTAGTCTATATATTGTAATAACCTCGCACTGAAACCGCTTTCATTTTGTAAATAATTGCAGAACAAATAAAAGTAAAGTGTTTTTAGAAAGCTAATAGTATAGAGATTCCAAATTTATGATGCATTCAATTTCAAAAATTTTGCCCCAAATCAAGTTTTTGCTTTAGTCAGATACCTTAACAGAGGGAAAACATAACATTATTAAAGTCTACTGAATCATTTGGAAAGAAAGCAACTCTGAAAATTTCAGAAAAAAAGCACAGACAGGAACAAACAGGAATTAAAAGATGATTATTACAAACATCACCAAGTTTTATCAGGCAATCAAACCCGTTTTAATCGTTTTCCTTCCGTCATCCTCAAACTTATGATTTAACAGATTTTGATAGTGATTTTATTTCTTCCTCACTAAAATGATAAATTTAAGTTTTTTTATAATTTATTTCTTAATTGTAAACAATATATGGATGTTTTTTACTTCGTTATCTATTAATAAAATTTCTTCATTCCATTAATAAAGATTACCATTGTAGGAGAATACCGTTTGAAAGACCAAATAAAATACCGGAAGTTAAAATCTGTCAAATCAGCATTTAGCAATTTTGATCAGCATTTAGCAACTTTACCCAATAAATGATAGAATTTTACACCTCAAGATTTCAAAGATAATGTATGTTTGTTATGTATAAATGATATATTTATGAAAAATATTAAAAATTACTTTTTGTGTCATATAAGACAAACAAATTATATTCTTGAATAATTAATTAATCAAGTAATTAAAACATAAATGTTTTGGTAAGAACTAATAATTTAAATGAAGCAACAATTATTGTATTCAATAATTCTGATTTGCATGAATTTGCATGAATTTTAATTTTAATGCAAAAACGCTCTTGCATTTTAATGAGTATGAATTTAAAAGCTTTAATTTGATAACCAAATGCTGTTCTTTTTTACATTTTTACACCCGTTTCTAAGCTTAAACAAATTTACTTTTGATACTTCGTTAAAAAAATTTTACGTAAAATATTAAATTACTTTCTCTGAAAATTATTCATTTTATGGTTAAGCTCTTTCTCTTTTTATGCAGAATTTGGAAATATCCAAAAAGTGCTATTCAAAAATAGATCCTGAAACCAATGGCGATACAGCAGCATTTATGAAAACTGCATGTAAGGATCTCACACTTTACGATAAAGTAAGATACTTAATGTTCAAGCATCTAATAATTTTATACTCAACAATTTTCATGCATATAATTTTCATACTCAACATATACATAAGACAAAGAATATTTTTGCATATTATAGTAGAGAAGCTTTATCATTACTAGATACTCTTCATATTATATTAAGTGAAAACTACACAATAAAAAAAGTAAAACATTTCCGAATCAGACAGTTGTTGGCCAAGGACGTCATAGTGATTCTGGCAATAGTAAATTCTGGAGGCTATGCCATCAACAGTGCACCTCTACCACCTTTACTTTACAGACCATCTGCGATCTGAAGCTGAGTAGTCTTAATGCCATCAATTCTTACACTATGGCAATGCACACCAAGAGCCATACCAACTTTTGCTAATAATGGTGCAAGCTGACCTTGCTTAAATATTCTTTAACGATTTCTGACAAACTAAACATAGAGTTTCAAGTGGCAGTTTCATTACTTGCGGAGGAACAGTTTCTGCAGTATAATTTTGCTACAAAAAATAGGAAATCAAAATCTGTGCTAACTTCGGTCCCAAAAATAATTATAAAAGTTTAATATTTATTTGGACATAAATTTCAAAATTTTTTTAATTATGGGGAAAATTTTTCCTCTGCTTAAAAATACCTAATTAATACAATTTGTGAAAGTGCTTTGAAATTTTTAAAACTCATTTATTTTTTTATCGTGTTGCATTATTCATTTATGCACATGCATTATTTCTTTTCTTCACTCACGTTTCTGTTTGCAAGAGTGGAATATTAAAATCGAATGTTATACTCTTTTTTGGCTAGAGCATGCAAACTGAAAATTTAATTTAATGTCCATGAAAGATTTATTCACTTCCTGACCGCTACAAACAGAATTTATTTTAGAATATTATCGCCAAATGGTTTAAAAGATATAAAATCATAGAAAGAGGGAATAATTAACATTTATTCCCTCTCGGAAACATTATATTTTGAACAGGTCTAGAAAAAATGATTTAAAAAGTTTTTTTTTCTTTTTTGCAGGTTGATGATTGTTTTGAAATATATAAACAAGATCAACATGAGGTGAGTATTCCTTATAAGATTTTATAAAGTTTTGAACTTAAGCACATGATCATTAGCATAATGTCGATCAAAAATGCTTTAAAAAGCCACAATAAATATTTTCTGCTCACACAATGCAAATCTGTCTCATAAACGAATGGAATAAAAAGAAAAAGTTCCTAATAACGGCTTCACGTTGTAAATGTGGAATTTATAACCTGTTGATTTTTTTTCATAAAAAAAAAAGTTGAAGAGCGAGGTTAGTCTAAGCTTCCTGATCCAAAAAAAAAAAAAGTATAAGCATTATAGGGAAAAATCGTCGAAATATTTTTTATTGTATCCAAAAAGTATATGCTAACAAAAATCTTTTATTTCATTGAATGATACTCATTGGAACCTGCAGAGCTATTTTTATAAGGACCTGTCTGAGAGCTCCTAGGATAATTCTCTTTGTTTGACTTAAAATGGCTAAATCTGTAAAAATAGAAGACATAATGAAAAAAATTTTTAATAATTTTTTACTATATACAAAAAGAGTTAAGCCGAAATAGTTATTTATTCTTCTTTTACAATAAAAACTATGCGCTATGCTAGTTTCGGAGTATAGATATGGTAAGTATACAATTACAATATTAGTTACCTTGAATATCCAAAATCAGTTTTTACACGTATTTATCTAATATTTTCTAGTTGCTCGTGCGAAGTGTCTAGCATTGACCCAAGTTGTCTTGGAGTATCTGTAAATTCGAGCTCTTATAACAGAGATTCGGAAATACAAGATGAAAAATCTTTATTCAGGCTATTTTCTAAATCTTTCAGTTATAACCTGCTTTTACTACATACGTAACAGTAACTGAATTTCTCATAAAAGTCTGAAGGCTAATCAACGGATGAAAAATATCAATGAAAATCAGAGCAACGATGAAAAGTGAATCCATGTAACTCCTAATCAAGAAATATGAAAATCAGTAAATAAAAAATCAATTAATTAATTATAAAATCAATGAATGAGCTAATCAATGAATAGGCTTAATTGCGCCCAAGCAAATCAACAAGTCAATGAATCAATAAATGAGCAAAACAATCCATCCGTGGTTAAGCGAATCAATAAATCAGTGAATAAGTGGTTCACCTAAACAGAAAATCAAAGAATCAATGATTTTCCGGCATCCTTGTGGATTATTATGATTAACCGTGTTAGGAAGAACGCATTCTTCCTAAAATTTTCTATTCGGAAACAGTAAGCCAATTGCTTTTGTTAACTAAACTACTTAAACGCATTTAGTTTTTTTAAAAATTATCAAATCCATTTAAAAATTTTCGAATACAAACAAGCTCAGAGTGTTTATTACAATGCAGTTTCTTTTTCACTCAGTACAAACCGACTTCTGCAGAGAACTTAGCGGGACTCTGGCTTGTTTATCAATCAAATAAATATAACATCTGGCTTGCTGACCTGCAAATAAATAAAAAAAAATTTATTGAAAGTTCTTAATTTTAGTAATACTTCTTTAATATTTTTAGATGAAAGATACAGCTGCATATGGGGTAAGAGAAACAAGCCTTTCTTTGAAAAATTCGTTTTATTTTACATTCATTTAGTCTTTGTTTGATTATTTTGTCATACCTTGATGTAAAATATGTTGTATGATTACATTTTAATGCAATATAACTACTACGTCACTACTTCTTCTACTACTACTACTACTTCACTACTATTATTTTACATTTCATTAGTCTTTGTTTATGTATTTTGTCATACCTTGATGTAAAATACGTATGATTACATTTTGCAATATTGCATACATCATTTCTTTTCAGAGCTGTCTTACTCAAGCATTTTATGAAAATGGCCATTACGAAATGTTGGGTATGAACTTTTTAGATGATATGGCATTTGGATATGACGGCTTTGGAGGTGGCTTTTATGGATTTTAAAGTGCTGTGCTACTACTCAACGAAATGCGTAAAGCATTTGTTAAAAGAAAACGTAAAAGATGCTGAAATTACAATAAAGATATTTAAAACAAATGCAAGAATTTGTCATTTTTCCAGGGTGGTTTTAAACTTTAAACAAAAACTCATGAAATAGCAGCGGGTCACAATCTTCAAATAATTTTAATATATTGTATAATCCAATGCCTGAAATATAATTATTGATGTTGACCTTTAGGTCTCAGGCAAAACGACGACAGTGAAAATTTTTGTAGTCAAATAGAACCTTTTAATAAGTGCAATTATAATATATATAATATTTCACTTAACTAACTCAAATCAAAATATTTTTAAAATTTTTGCATTTTAACCCTCAATGCATAGTGTTCTGTATCGTAAAAAAAGCTGTCCAAAACTCTAAGCGTTTTGATAAACTGTATAATATGCAATTATTATTGTATTAATGGGTCACAAATTATGAATATGAAGTCAAATTCGCAAAATTAAATGTGGTTGATTGTAATGGTTGTAATTGATTTGAAAACCACTAACTCTATTTTACTTAACGTTTGATGGAGGGAAGACTGTTATATCAAGGAGACCCCTGTAATAATTCCAAATACTTATTTATTAATTGTTACACACGCATATAAAGGTTAGTTTGTTTGACTGATCACTACAAAGTACGATTTGTTGTAAGGCCTTGTCAAGTTGAAAAGCAGTTAGTTCAAGTTAGGAAGGGGAATTACAAAGATATATCTCTATCATAGCATGGAGGAAGTGGGTTCGAATCCCACCGTATCCTTGTTATTTCTTTCTCTATCTTATGCTATCTGTTCTCTGACATATCAACGGCTTACTACCCGAAACTTAGTAATATAACGTATATATGTATATATATATTGTAGTAATATATATGATATATAATATTGTTGAACATTTCATGTGAACATTTCAAATTAGAATAGTACTTTTAAAATTTCCGCAGATTCGGTAAAATTACCAAATTTTATATTATTTATTATCAAACAGCATAATTATAAAAACATATTTTATTGTTATTTTTCTTCAAAAGTCATTATTAAAGCACTAAGGTAAAAATTAAATACTTTTTGGTGTTCCCATATTCTAGTAATTTTGACCATGCATTTTTTTTCAATTGTAAATTACTTTTGCTATATTTGTATGAAACTTCTTACTTTTAACATTGTCTCTTATAATGAGTAATATTTCATGACCAACTAAATATGAACTCTAAATTTTGCTCATTTAGAGGATTTTAAAAATTATTTATTATTGTCTTGCAGAAATACAATTCAACTGTATCATATATAAGATAAGTGCGATTAAAATGAATCAAATGTTCTCAAAATTAGGTGACTGCTCATAGAAGCAACAAAAGCCTGATGCACAGTGTAACAATAATCAGTTTTCAAAGTTAAAAAAAAAAAAAAAAGAACTGAAGTACAATAAAACTCATTTTTCGATTAATATTTTTGCATCTAATTATCTAATGAATGCAAAAATAAACTTAATTGTGTGGTTAATTCTATAAAAATAGCTGTAAAATTTGAATCAAGATAAACTTTCAGAAAATTTGAGCTTGTGTTATATCTTTTTAAGCTTATAAATTTTTACAATAAATAAAATTATAAAAGGTAAGTATGAATCTTCGTTAAATATACAATTTCAATATGGTTTTTTAGATTGGTTTTACATAAATGTTAAGAAAAATATGATATTCTGCATATCTCTGTTTGACCATAGTTCTGTAAATGAAAATCTTTTAATAAAATTGCAGACAAAAATGCCTCTCTTACCCGTATATCAATCGACGTGGCTTTCATATCTTTTATATACATAATTAAAAAGTTAATTATTAGTAAATTAATATTAGCTACAAAAACTTATAGAATCGACTAAAATAAATTCCAAGACATTTTTAGCTGTTTTAAGCATCCTTGCCCAAGTCATAGACAGTTTATATGTTTATTAAAAAAAATATTAAAATAAAAAATTCAAGTCACACAAGCGAATATCAATGTCTAAGCTTTTAAGGATTTTCAATATGCAATTTCTAAATTTGCGTGTGAAGGAACATTAACCCTTTCTTATTTTGTAATTTTTTACAGCTTTATGGTCATTCTACTCCATTTTTATCCTTGTTAACGTTTTTAATATGCAATTTCTAAATTTGCGTGTGAAGGAACATTAACCCTTTCTTATTTTGTAATTTTTTACAGCTTTATGGTCATTCTACTCTATTTTTATCGCAGGCTTAGTGTCCGATACACCCATTATAAAGCAAAGATGTTTTCAAAATTTCAAAATGTATTATACAATTAAAAAAAATTTACTAACATTTAAAGTAAGTATTAAAAACTGTAATTTCACAAATTAACATTTTTTCAAGTTGGTAAAAATAACAATCAATATTAAAAACATAATTTCAAGCTTACACTGCAATCTTAATGCAATAATAGTCCTCAATAATAATTTCAGAACAAAACAAGACTAGAATTGACGTCATAGTTTCGTGACGTTATCTCGATTAATTCGCTCAAGGGGCCACTTCCGCAGCAGTCAAGGCTGGCTCAAAAAAAGAATTATTTAACTTCTTATCATCATCATTCATTGCTTATAAATACGGATCTTTCTGTGACAGTTTACAAACAACTGTATCATTTGAGTGAATTTACATCAACCAAATTAATCGAGTGAATTTCTTTAGAGTTACTTGTGGTAAGTTATAAATATTTAATCTCTTTTTTTCTACAACGCTTAATTTTTTAAGTATTGATAATTTTTTTAAATATAGTAATTCACAAACGTGAATAAAAATTGAATAAAATTTTGTGTTTTCATAAACATAAAGCTTATCCAATTTGTAAACATTCAAACACCCATTTGAATTTGACACAGAATTTTTATTACATATATTTTTCATACTTTCTTCATGAGCTTGTATTAATTTAGGTCAAAATGAGTGAAAACATATTATATTTAGCACTTGATTATATGAAATACAGCATGAAATACTAGTGTGTTTTAATGCGTTAAAGGTGAAATCTTCCAAATATGTCTCCCCAGACTGTAATTTTTCGAATCTACATTTATTGGCAGTTAATTAGATGTAAAAGGAACAGTTATTCATCCTTTAAATTTCTTTCATATACGAAATTAATTATTGTTACATTTTTAATATGATTTTTAACAAAAATCTCACACTGCTTTTTTTCAATTTTTGATTTTAATGCAAACATACTTCCAATAAAATTTCAGATTTTTTTTAATTAGATTACTGTGTTTTTTAATTAAAAAATATCAAAATATATTTTTGCTCGTAATTAGAGCGTCAGATAAAATACAAAAAAGGGACAACCGTGTCCTATTTGCACCAGAAGTTAAATAGGTGCAAACTTGAAACCCGCAGCTTTTGCTATTTCAATATCGTTTTCCAGTCAAAATAATATACACTAATTATCTCCATTTTTAAACTCCAACAGCTACAAGTGTTATTAAATTTGTTAACATCGATTTCAAAAACAGAAAAAAATAACAATAATAATGAGGAAAATACATTTTGAGTTCTTTCAAGTTTAAAGTCATTGTTCTGAAATTTTGAATCAAAAGCTTGCAATATTACACCTTGATGAGGTATAATATTTTAAACTTGTCATTCCAAGATTCAGAGCAAAGTCAGATAACTTCTTTTTATGATAAAACTATCAAGCTGTGTGAGAAGAAAAAATTAGACGCGTGTAAAAAACTATTATATAGTGATGAATAAAATTAATTATTTAACTTAAATATTTAAAAATGATGCAAATGTAAAAAGAACTTTAAAGAATTTAAAATTAGAGAAATAGGGAGTCAAATAAACATGTTAAGCTGCATTTTAATGCGGCAAAAATAATTTAATCAAAACTAGCTATTTTAAAAATTTTGTAAAAATGATTAATTGTAATATTTAGTTATATAGTTAACTGAATTGGATTGTAGACCTAAAAATGAATATTATTGTCTACTGAGTATTTTATTTTATACTTCATTTCAAATTAATAATTTATGATAAATCATGATGAAATTTAAAAAACATATATTTAATTTCATAAATGAACCACAACAACAAGTTATATTCCAATTCCGATAGAAACTCTTAGCCGAAAATTCATTAAGCAACCTCATCTGTCCAGAGTATCCTGAAACTTTTTTCCTTTTCAACTCTCGATACCTGGCTTTCTAAAAATTCATCAGATTCACCTAGAAATTCCCCTGAAAATTCATCTAGCTTAAATCCATTACTGTTTAACCATTTTGTCAACTAACACTAACTGTAGCGGATCCTTACATGCCAGCGTCGAAAGGTCATGCCATTGTTTTTGCTAGTTTTCCTATATAACTTATAATTCGCTGTACATGCTATCTATTCATCCATCCTTTCTTCCAATCGGGCTCGATGGTACTGGCATGGTTGCGTTGATAAACTTGTTTTAACCTAATGAGGAGACTTACCTTAGCCAAAAAACATTTAGCCCCAGAAAAAGGTTTTTTTTTTTAAAAAAAAAAAGCTTATTTACACAAAAATACCTTTTTTTGAAATGAAAGTTTTAATATCTTAATTTAAATTAATATCCAAACAGTCTTATTAAAACATATCCTAGCCAAAAAAAAATTATAACATTAAATAAAAATTAATAACCTTCCAACTAAAAGCAAATATACATAATTATCTATCTTATTTGCATTATATCAATATGAATACAAATTACTAAATTACACAGCTATTTTATCTACAAACATCCTGATAAAATGTCTACCTGTCAACTTAACTGTTTGTTTCTTTAAAGAAAATACTTTATCTACTTTCTAAATTAAATTCATGGTTACGAAAAATAAAAATAAAATTTAAACTCTATTATTATTTTCTAAAATATTTTGGCAAAGCTTAAATAGAGTTTTTTTAAAAAAATATTGGCGTCTTTAAATTTTTTTGGTGATATTAATTTCACAATCGTTTTCTACTTCTCCTTAAGACCTTTTGATTTAATTTCTTTCATTGACTTACATCCTTAGAGTTTCTAAGGCAAAAACAAGTAGTGTAGTTTTTAGATTAATTTAGATAATTATTTTCTATATTTCCAACACCTAGATCAAATAACTTCAATCACTTCTTCTTCTATTAGCACTTAAAATCTCTTATTTTTCTGAATTAAAATGAATGAGCATATCCTTTTTTAAATATTTAGAAATTACTAGTCGGTGGTGGAAGTGAATTACAAACCGTCATAGTAAAATAATTTATTTACTCAATACTCGGTATCATAATCGAGTGCTGGAGTTATTGTTACATAAATAGCAATTTTTAAATAAACATTAATCTCTTTAATACAATCCTAGTAGAACACCGTAGTCAAGCATCGTTGGCTGTAATCAGTAAGGTGGGTGGCCACTTTAATCAGCCTGCGTATGAACCGAAAGTGCATGGTATCGGTCCTCGTTAAACTGTTCTACCGTAAATTGCTCGATTTCGCGCAAGTCGTCGGGCTTCCAAAGCAGGGAGCCATTGTTGTGATGGCATGTGTTCGGATTATCCTCAGGGATGTTTCCCAGACCGTCGCCTACAGCCCATTGTGCAGCTCTAGTGCGACGTAATACCACTTTAACCCAAATTATGTAGAAAAAAATTGCATTTGTTTTGTTTTCTAATCTCTCCTTTTTTTGAAGTTTTGTATATCATTTAAATCTTCTGAATTTTTCTTCTTTTTTTTTCAGAGTATAAAGAATTACTATTTCTAAAATATTTGCTTTGTTCAGATTGAGCACTTAAGTTGTAAAGAATTAATAAAAATATTTTACAATACCCTGAAATTCTTAATTTATTAAAAAAACGTACAAACTAATTTCTTTTTCTCCTTTCTTTCTGCACTAACAACTTTGTTACGCTTAAAAACGTGCAGATTCTACCCCCAATGTTGTTCATTGTTGGCAGTGAAAAGAATTTACATGAGAAAATAATAAAAGATATTTATTCAATAAAATTACAATAATCATAATAATGTGCAAGACATATGAAATTTTAACTTTATTTATTAAGAAAAAAACTTACTTATTATTAAAAAATTTTTAGCAATTTTAAGACTTGGCACCTTCTTATGTCTGGAAATAAAGGATTAATTATTTTTTTGCATAACTGATTTTCATATAACTCTTATAAATCACTGTCTTCTCTTACTCAGTAACTGAGTAGTGATTTAACTAATAAAAATATACCAGTCACTTATTAAGCTTCTTTTTTTTTGTAGGTAAGAATTAGTGAAAAGTTTCATAAAAAGGACATTTATTTCTTGGGCTTTCAATCAAAACTATAAAATTTTCTTACATGATAGAAAAATAACACATTTTGAATAAAGTTGAATGAAAACAAAAATCTGATTACTTTATTACATGTTCTTTTATAACACATAAAGATCTTAAGTTTCAGATTTAGATGTTAAAATAAAAGGGGTGGAGATAACCAATTTCAATTTTGAGAAAAAATGTAATATTTCTTTTTTTGATTAGTTGTGAACTGATTCCGCTGCATAAATTTTCTACTTTGATTTTCTTATACACTTTCAAATGTACAAATTTTAAACAAAACATTATAAGCATCTCAAGTAAAGAATTTTATAATATCACAAACTAATCTCCGTGTGCATACGTAATAGCATTGATACACACACTACGTCAATTGCAGGCATCCTATTCAGTACAAATCTTTTTGCAAGGTTTGCTGGTTATTTCAACAGATAGTATTTACAAAACAGAATCACATTGCATTTTTTTAATTTTTCTGATTTTTCTAAATCTATGTTTAAAAATAACGGGACAAAGTTTCATACAAAAAGTTATATCGTAATATCTAATAAATTTTATTCTCATAATATTTAAAGTTCAACTATTTCTCTTAACATCACTCAATTAAATAATTTATAATTTTATTAAAATTAAAATCTTATTCTTTAAAAATTCTATTTAGTTTTTGAATGGCATTTTTAACGTTGATTTAAAATAGTCCATATCCTTCATCCAATCTACGGCAAATATTTACTCGTCACCTTCATAACTAAAACTGCTTTTTCTCTGAAAACTATTGTAATTGATTTGAGTTTCTGACGTCATTCTGAATATCAATCATTCTATTTAAAAGCAAGCGACTTTTGAAAACATTATTTTTTCGACAGGTGAAAAGTGATTTTAACCAAAATTCTTTTTCAGGAAGTAAAGAAGGTAAATTTATTCTTTTTATGTCATTTTCGTTGATTTATAAAAAGATATTTTTGCAAATTTTTCATAAGTTACATAAAACATCAATTTCCGTTGAATAAATAAAAAAAAACTTCTCAATTCAAAACAAAAGCATAATATTCATGGTTCTTTTTATTCTATTGATGAAGTTTTCCTTATTCTCTTCCTGTTAAATTTCATTTTAAAAAAATTCTCAGTCCCATGAAAGTAGTTACATTTTTCATTATATAATAGTCTCATAATCATCATAAGTCTCATTGTCATTATAAGTTTCGTAGTCATTATAAGTCTCATAATCATTAATGTTAAATAACCTGATGTCGAATACTTCTAGAAAAAGACTTCTTAGAAAAGTTTCATAGTTATTAACAGTAAAATATCCCCACTATGAAAACTTTTCAAGTTTAGACAGTGTAATAATTATCTTAATAAATGTTTAAAAAATATTAAAT